CTCCTAAGAACTTCCCTGATTCCTTAAAAAGTATCTGGGTTTAGGTTTTCTATTTTATTCAGGTGTTATTTTAAATGATATGAAATTATATTTATATATGGCTAGATAATATTTCTTGGTTGCACTTTAACTGGTAGTTTTTTTTTTTTTTTTTTTTTTTTTGGATCATGCGAGTGCCATGGCGTCAGCCTAGCTCACAGCAACCTCAAACTCCTGGGCTCGAGTGATCCTTCTGCCTCAGCCTCCCGAGTAGCTGGGACTACAGGCATGTGCCACCATGCCCAGCTAATTTTTTATATATATATCAGTTGGCCAATTAATTTCTTTCTATTTATAGTAGAGACGGGGTCTCGCTCTTGCTCAGGCTGGTTTTGAACTCCTGACCTTGAGCAATCCGCCCGCCTCGGCCTCCCAAGAGCTAGGATTACAGGCGTGAGCCACAGCGCCCGGCCCTAACTGGTAGTTTTTATTGTTATTTCACAGTTGATAGAAAATACAGCCTGTAGGATTTCTGCTTTCATGACATTATTGATACATTTGGAGCCTAAAACTATATAATTTTCAAGAATGTTTTCCTACTAATTGAAAATAATGTGTATACTCTGGTTAGTGTAAAAATTGTTATTTGAGTGTCTATCTGCCTAACTAATCAATCTTGCTAATAAAGTTAGTTAGCCTTCGTTGTGTTAACATGTGCCTTAGATAGCAAAACAATTGATTTTGTGACAGTTTTAATGTCACCTATGATAACTGCAAATGTGCCAACTTATCCTTCTTTTTAATGAATCTTTATTCTATATATTTAAAACTATTAAAGATGTATGTGTAGCTGGCTTGGAAAAATGTATAATACACTCTATGTGCCACTCTGATTCATCAAATGATCAAGTAATGATACCATTCTTAACTTACAATGTTATTTTGTATTTTTCTCATTACAAGGTTCATTTTATATGTTATATGAATTTTGACAGACAAGAGGATAGTAGGCTCAGTCTGTCACCATTTGATAAATCCCAAAGTTAAATGGCACAATCTGGCCTACTCTAGATATAATACCTCATTTGTCTTAGGCATGGCAGCAGTTAAAGTCTTTTTCTCCTTCCTATATAAGAGGATTATGAGAGAAAGGGTATTCACAGATTGCCTTAAAGTCTCATTCACATTATTTTAAATAGCAACTACCATGAAAATTTAGAAACATCAAACAATAACAAATCATAAACAAATTCATACAATGACAAAAATTATCAAAACAGACTCAAGGATAAATAGAATATCTAAATAAATCTATAATAAATAAAGGAAACTAAATTAATTAAAACTCATCATACAAAGAATATCCCAGATCTAGATGGCATCACTGAGGCATGCTGCCAAATTTTAATGAAGAATTAATAGCCATCCCTCACACAGATTCTCAGGAAAAAAGGAGAGAGAGAGAAGGGAACACTTCCCAACTCAATCTACTAGTCCAGAATTAACTATAATACAAAGCTACACAGAAGCACAACAGAGAAAAAGAAAAAAAAATTGAAAAATATCTATTGAGTATAGACAAAGAAATCCTTTACATGACACTAGCAAACCAAATCCAAAAACATATAAAAAGAATTCTAAGAATTATAAGGTCATATGCCTTGACCAAGTGCGATTGTGCCACAATTCTGTAGTTTGTGTAACATCTAGAAAACTACTAATTTATCCATCCACATCTATACTTTCAAAAGTTCATTTCTGTGTATGTGTGAGTGTGTGGTGTTGACAGAAAAAAAACCAAACTCTGTAATTTTTTTTTTTTTTTGAGACACAGTCTTGCTCTATTACCTGGGCTAGAGTGCCGTGTTGTCAGCCTAGCTCACAGCAACCTCCAACTCCTGGGCTCAAGCAATCCTACTGCCTCAGCCTCCTGAGTAGCTGGGACTACGGCATGAACCACCATGCCAGGCTAATTTTTTCTATATATTTTTAGTTGTCCAGCTAATTTCTTTCTATTTTTTTAGTAGAGACAGGGTCCTGCTCTTGCTCAGGCTGGTCTCGAACTCCGGAACTCAAACGATCTGCCCGCCTTGGCCTCCCAGAGTGCTAGGATTACAGGTGTGAACCACCCCACCTGGTCTGTAAAGTAATTTTTTTTTTTTTGCACATAAAGGGTTTATTTTAAATGTTTTAAGGATAGGATGGAGTTACATCATAATTATAAAAATTACTTACAGAATTAACAGATTTATATTGTGTATACTTCTAAATGCAGAGAACAGGGAACTGTCTACACATTGTATAAAATAAAATTAAAATTAAAAGTGAATTCAGGCTCGAAAGATGAGGTCATTTACCTAATTTTAAAATGTGAACACGAAGACCTCTGAACTATACACATTCATTCAAACTGCACTAATGATGGAAAACACAAAGAGCGCAGCATTTCCAAGGAACCACAGACATTTCGACCATAATTTTGTTATAATAGTTGTTCCTGTTTTGTCTTTGGAGAACTTTCATTTTTTTAAGACAATCAGCTTTAAGAGTGTTTTCAGGCACTACAATTTGTGACAATCGGAACAGTCTTCTAATGGGTCTACAGTGTTCAGATTCAAGCCCAATGCACTTGGCGGTTTGGCACATAAAACAATAATAGAAATGAAATCTGGTTTAGAACTGTGATTTTTTTAAAAGAAAACACAGTCCCCTCAAATGCTGCATGACATTTACAACTGGAAAATCACCTTCTGTTGGCACTACATTTGCTTCACCAGTGCATTTTTATCCTACAACCACTAAAACAGCACAGTAAGCAAATATACAGGAAACTGAAAGCAAAGAAAAATAAAGAAAAAACAAAAAACCTAAATATCATTAACATGCAATTTTAGTTAGTTACATTGAACATTCTACTTAGAATACAGCATGCAAAAAAGGATAGTCTGCTTTTAAGATTTTTCTCCGAAGTTTTACGTGGCAGCCTGACATCACACACACACGCACGCACACACAATACAATAATACTAGAGCAGGTAAATGAGAAAGGCCGATAAATTTTATACATAGATTCATGTCTCATGTTGTCACAAGTCCCATGATAATTTTGGAAATTAATGTTGAATTCCTAGAACAAGGAACCAACATTCAGATATCAGAAAAATGCAAGCAATGCATGCAGATCTGAAACATGAGCCTAAAATGAAGCCCAAGGTACATGGGGTTGGGAGCAGAATTAGTCACAGCGTCATTAAGTATGGCATAAGCCACAAAAAAAAAAAAAAAAAAAAAAAGACAGAATGGAGAAAAAGATGGAAAAAAACAACCCTCCCAACAAAAAAACCTTCCCCTTCTCTCAGCCCTAAAGGCAATAAATGGAACAATGATTAACATCATCATCACCATCATCATGATGTTGCATTCATCTAGAGACTGGGAGATTGTGTGGTATATTAACGTTGCTTGCAGAAAAACCACAATGCAAGTCATTAGGTAATGCTAGAAATGTTTCAATTGACTCAATCCTCAGGATAGTTCAAAATGAACTTTATTTTTCAGCCCAAAGTCACTATGCCAAGTTCTGCACAGTCTGTGCATGCTGGACACACTCACAAACTCCTGTACTGTAAATGTCAGTCTGGGCTCCAGGAGCCAGGCTCAGCTTTGAGATTTACATGCAGGGACTCTTAAGAGTCAACAGGAAAACACACAGCAGATCGGCAGAACAACACCTACACAAGAAGCACCTATGTCTTGGGTCTCACACTGCTTTCATAAGCTTGGCCCTGGCTGCCCACAGTGAAGCACTGGGCACAGGGCAACAGCAGCTGCGGACAGAAACTGAGGCACTGTGTTTACGTGGTGAGCGGCCGTTACCATGCAACAGCACAAGGCACAAGCCCTTATGAAGGCTAAAATGGACATGAAGCAAACCATGCACAGTGAGGCCTGGAAAGTATGTGATTTCTAGTGTCAAGAACAGCCACAACAGCGGTCACTTGGACCACTGACCCAAACCTCTGGCGTTTCATTGACAGCATGCACATTTAGGCTCTGCCCAAACCACAGGTAAGATTTCCAATCTTCCCAAGAGACTAGTTTCACATATGGCCTTTCTCCTGGCTGTCAAACCACCAGGCTTCCTCCAAAACAAAGTGAGAACAGCTGCTTTGCTGATCAACCAATCACATTTGCAGTTCTAATTCAGTTTAAAACAATCTTGCAGGAATAAACCATGAAAGGACTCTGTGGATAAGGGCTGCTATTACTTACACCCACAAGTGAACACGAACAACTGGACTTTCTATGGTAACGCACCAATGACATGCAAACCCCGAGGGGCCGCGGAGTGGAATGAATCCACATCAACAGCACACCTGGAGCAAGGACATACATATACCACCACAAAAGATGTCAAGAGATCAAGCTGTTATTTTTCTAGACATTCTCTGTGGGGAAAAACAGGGTGGGGGGGCAGGGGGGGTGTTTCTGACCATAATCATATATCAGCAATAATAGTAATAAAAATTAAAAAGTCCCAGAGAACTTGTTAGAAGGCAACAATGCCACTCTTAAAACTTACATTTCTGATATAAAAGCACTGTGTTCTTCCAGGAACTTACCACAAACACACACTGATGTACTGTTGCCTTTTTAAATCCATATACTAAAATCCAGATTACTGATTTGTACAAATAACAGACCAAATGTGCTGTCCAAAATACACCTACATTACACTATGTGGACCAAGGACCTGAGCTTTGCTAAAAAAGTATTTATGATTAAAGAGTAAACAACAACAAAAAAATCATATGCACACTTACTCTATTTTATGGAATTAAGTGTTGTCCTAAAAAAAAAAAAAATTACAAAGCTTAGAATTAAAGGCAGCCTTTTACCCAGATTTCTTACCAGATTGCAAAATTCTAATGCGGATCATCAACTGTTCACAAATAATTCACATTTGGATTTACGGTTTAAAGCCTCCAAATAGGAAAGGTGCTCTGAACTTCTGACTTTCAAAACAAGCTGAACATTGTTATGTGCTTCCTGTGCCCAAATTTTAATTTTAAATAAAGAGGAATAATATCATAAATAGGACTGATTTGGGTCAAGCACTCCTGTTAAACTGGAGAAAATTATGTCACCCCCATTCCAATCCACAAAGAAAGGACTGCCAATGGTGTGTGTATGTGTGTATATAATATATATACATACACACACATATAGGTAGATATAGATACATATATCTCAAAAAAGGCAGTAACAAAAATACCAAACTATGCTTGCATTGTGGCAGCAGAATAAGAGTGTTACAGTGAAGGGGAATATGGTTAAGATCTATTACAGTTTTAAATGACTATGATACTAGCTTAACTTTTACCAAACTTGCCTGTAACTCCCCTCCAAACAGACAGACTTCTTTTAAGAGGAAGGAGTTCTCCTTACACAAAATGCTTTGTGTTCACATCAATCTGTACTATTCAGAACAAAACCAGTTCTGCTGGCAGAGATTGTGGGTTCGCAGGGACATTTAAGCTTTCATTAAACTGGAAAGCAATCAAGTCTTTATGTCTACAAATTATACATTTAATAGTTCCACAAATTTGGCAGAGTTCATGATGACATCTAGGATGTTTTCACCAAATCGTAGACATAAATATGGAAATCATCATCAAACTTGATGAAATAGACGGAGGGCTTGGCTTCTACTTGAATGACCATGCCAGTCCTTTTCGAGCCATCTTCTTTGGCATATTCCACGTTTGCCTACCAGGCTGTCCACAACTTCTCCTGGTTCCCTTTCTGCTGGACGTGAATCATTAGAATCAGGCATAATGCGAAGGTCGCCTTCCTTGTAATCATCTAAGAGCTGGTACATGTACAAGACAGGGCCTTTCTCGTAGGTAATGCAAAACCATGTGTTCATGACAGGTGCACGTGCTAAGACCATTCCCCTCCACTCGTCTTTAGAGCCATCCTCTGTCTCAAACATACGTTCCACCGCTTTACCAGGCATTGTGTCTGCCAGGTGTGCACCACTGATTCGCGACGTGGCGGCTCTATCGGGGAGGACCTCGGGCGCAGAAACTCTTTCATCTTTATTAAGTTCTAGTCCATAAACACAGTCAAATCCATCGTATTTTATAAGATACAAAGAAGGATTTACAGGCACCTGGTCCAGAACGGTTCCTGTCCACTGGGTAACAGGGCCATTCCCCTCTTTCCACCCATGCTGAACCCTGCAGCCTACGATGTTCCGGGGCTGGGAAACAGGTCTGCGCGGCCCACACTGCTCCCATGCTTTTTGTGGGACGTCCTCTTCTTCATCATGTTTGCAGATACGCCAGCATGGCCTGCATCAGCTCTGGCCCGCTGGCCAGGCGTCTTTCCGAATGGGGTCTTCATCCGTCTGTATTTAAGTGAGCAGCAGAGCTGCCGGACTGGGGTGAAAATTCAATATTCTCCAATTTGAAACTTCTCACAGAATGTTAATGTTCTCGTTAATCCACCATCCAAGTGTCTCTTTTACAAGTTCAGCAAAAATACGTGAAATCACAAGTACTCTGCCGGCCGCGAAGGCCGCCGTCCGCAGGCCCCACGGGCTCCACCGTAGGTCTCTCCAGCTCCGCCGCCGCCGCCTTCCGCCGCCCCGCCCCTCGCTCGCCCCCTCCGCCGCCGCCTCGCCCCGCCGCCCTCGCGCCTCGCGCCCGCCGCCGCTCCTCGCCACCCCGCCGTACTCCCACCTCCCCTACCTCGCCACCCGCCCGCCTCCGCCGCCCGCTCCTCAACCCGCCCCGCCGCCCCCACCCCGCCTCGCGCCACCGCCGCCGCCCGCCGCTCCATCGCCGCCCCCGCCTCCCCGCCCCGCTGCTCCTCGCCCGCCCCGCCCACCGTCTGCCCGCCTCGCCGCCCGCCCAGCTCCCTGACCGGCAGCCCCCAGCCGCCAGGACGCAGGCGCACTGCGCCAACCCAACTGCCACGGCAGGGCCACCCTGGCGCTCCGCACTGCCGCCGCCTGTAAAGTAATTTTAAAGAGCTTTACTCTGAGCCACATTTGAGGACCATGACCCGGAGCCACTCCCATGAAGCCCTGAGCAAGTGGACTCGCTGTGGCTGGATTACAGTTTGGTTTTATACATTTCAGGGTGACAGGGGTTACAGGTAGTCATAAATCAATAAGTGGGAAGCATGCATTGGGTTGGCCTGAAAAGGTGGGCCATCTCAAAAGGGGGGCTTACAGATTATAGGTGGTTTTAAAGATTCTTTGGCTTGTAATTGGTTAAAGACATGAAGCTTTGTTTAGAGGGTTGGAATGTTTTAAGATAAGAAGCTGTTAATCAGAGACAAGCCACTGGACATATATTTGTTGTATAAATTGAGGACCTGCAGGTTTGTCTTGTATACCCTCAGGCCCATTAATGGGTTACAAAGGATGTCCCCGAGAAGGGAGGGGGGCATGGTGAGGCATATCTGATCCCCCTCCTCTTGGCAGGCAGTTTAGTTTTAGGATATTTCTTTGGCCAAGAGGGTGTCCATTCAGGCAGCCAGTGGGGGGGTGAGCCTTAAGATTTTATTTTAGTTCACAGTGGCTGTGTTGTGGTAAGAACATTTAACATGGATAGATGTGTTACCTTTACAGTGGTGATGTATCACACCTCAACTTGATAAGATATCCAATGTCATCAAACTGAGTATATTATGTAAAACAGGAATGAGAGCAGGAGTGACTCCATGACAGGCTGCACTTCCTGGAGTAGGCCTAAGTTTCGGTTTACCTGAAACTTCGCCTACTACATCCTTCCCCAAAGTGACACACACAGCTTTTGAAGGAGCCAATCAGGAGCCGACAGGATTAGCCACTTTTAAAGGAACCAATGGTCTAAGGGAGGAGGGGGGGAAGGTGTAAACAGTGCGTATAACTTGCAGAAAAGTATAAAAGCTTCACTTATACCCCAGGGAGGGGTCCTGGTTCGTAGGGAGGCCGCTGCGTTGGTGTTCTGGGACCTGGACCCAAGCTCGAGCTAGCCAATAAACTCCTTTGTGCTTTGCAGCCTCAGCGATTCTGCCTCTCTGTTCCTGGGGCCAAAGGAAACCAGCTCTAACAATTAAACATGCAATTCTCTTGTATATCAATTAGACTTCACTAAAGCTATAAAAAATTTAATATAATATACCATATCAATAAAAGATCAAGATGTGATAATCTCACCGACGCAGAATAGACCACTTAAGTAAAACCATCTCATGATTAAAATCCTAAACAAACTAGGAATTGAAGAGACCCTCCACAACCTGATTAAGGGCATCTATAGAAAACAGAGTAAATATCATGATAAGGGAAATCCCCATCTAATACTTGGCACATCAGGCGTGGAGACCCCTACATGGGCATAACACTAACCTGCTTCCTGGCCCATCGACTAGTCTATTGCCTGGCATCAGCATAACACTAAATCTGTTGCCTGGAGCATCAATATAATATCACCTGACACATCAACTAACCTACACCAGATACCCCACCCCTCAGACCACCCCAACTTAATAAAAGTGCGAAAAATCAGGTAGATGGTGCTCAGAATTTGATGGCGAGGCCCCTCTGAGCCCTGTGGCTAATAAACTTTGGTTCTCCGACTCCTGCTTGGTTTGTCCTCAGGACCATTCGCTGTAACACTTGCTGTAACAGACATACTAGTGGAAAGCATGTTTTCCCCCTTAGATTGGGAATAAGCACTTTCAGTACTCCTAGTCAACATTTTACTGGAGGATTTAGCTTAAAAAAATCTTGCAAAAAATATGAAGAAAAGGACTCCAGATTGCCAAGGAAAGAGTAAAATTGTCTTTTAATGTCTAAGGTTTAATTCCATATGTAAGAGAAATCCTGAGGAGTTTACTAAAAACCTACTCCAAGTAAATGAGTTTGGCAGTGCTGCAGTCTATGAGATTAAGATATAAATATCAATTGTATTTCTGTACACTAGCTATGAACTTCCCAAGAATATAAGAAAATAACAGCATTCAAAATAGAAGCAAAAAGAATGAAAACTGTTAGGGCCTAGGGCCCATAGACAGCCAATAACCAGCCATTAGCTTCTGTATTATGCTTGCTTGCTTGCTTGCTTAGGAGAGTGGGAAATTTTCAGTTGACCCTTATCTGACTCCACACCCGCCATCCTGACTCTGCTAGTGTGATTAAGTTTAGAAACTAAGGAGAAGGGTGGTGGTGCAAGGCACAACTGCCCAGAAAATATAGCCTCTAGGCCAGAGACAAAGCACCCTGGACGCCTGAGGCGCCTGACATGCTTCATGTACCCAGTAAAATGTGTTCTGGCTTAGATCACAGGATGCAGGATGTACCTCAACTAAGACTGATGTCCATAAATTAGGATACTTAGGGTCATCCTCTGGGATAAAACTTAGCTGCAGCCAGTGACTCCTACAAAACCCATCTCAAGGCTCCAACACCCCATTGTGCTAAAACAAGATAAGATTGTAAGATTAATGCTTTCTCTGCTTCTGTAAAAGTGCTTGCAAATCAGTTTTAGAGTGTGTTTTTTGCCTTTAAATAGGGGCTGTTTTTCCATTCTCATCACTACTTCCTATGCCTGCCTCTTTGCAGGACAAGAGTAGTCCTGGCCAGTAAATAAAGACTCACAATTTGGCCCAATTCAGTTTCTAAGGTGGTCTTTTTCTCGCACTTCAGACTATAACAAAAGCAAAGGGGAAAATTTCAAAATTGTGCTCCAATTTTAAACTAAAAAACAGTTTTTTTTAACTACAATAAAAAGAAAAAACTCACAATTTTTAAAACAAAGTAATACTTTTAATAGACATTTTGCCATTGTCAAAAATATATACAAACTGCTAAGAAGCATGTAAAAATATGCTTAATATTAGTCATCAGAGAAATGCTAATCAACGCCTCAGGGAGATACCACTTGCCACCCAGTAGGATGACTCTAATTTAACAACAGAAAAAAAAAAAGTGCTCACAAGGATGTGGTGAATGTGGACCCTTACACCTTGTTGGTGGAGTGTGAGACAGTGCAGCACTGTGAAGAACAATTTGACAGCCTCTCAAAACCTTTTGCATGGAGCTACCATAATGACTCAGCAGCTTTGCCCTCAGTTACATACCCCAAAGATATGAAAACTGGGATGCACACAAAGGCTCACTACAGCAATATTCATGATAGCGAAATGTGGAAAACACCCTAACATCAACAACTGAGTATAAGGAAAAGTAATGAGATAGAGCTTTACAACGGAATCCAACACAGCAATCAAAATGAATAATTAAGTAATGATACAGCTACAACAGGAATAAACCTTAAAAAAACAAACAAAAAAAACTAATAGAAAGAAATCAGAAGCAAAAGACCATATATTGTATGGTTCCAATTATAAGATATGTACAGAAAAGAGGGATGCCTAGAGACAGAATGGAAATTAATAGTTGTCTAACACTAGGATGAGAACAAAGAGTGACCATAAACAGCAGGAAGTTTTGGAGAAGAGTTAATGGAAATGTGCTAAAAACAGACTGAGATGATAGTTCCACATTCTGAAATACACTACAAATCATGAAATGGAAACTTAAAACATGGGATTTCTGTGGCTGGGGAGGCTGGATCCTGACATCTAGGCTTCTGAGAGCCCCCTAAAGTCCTCCCAGGACTTTATACCTCCCAGGAGTCCAGGGATTAGTGGCCACCTCCCCCTGCTTCACCCAGTCCTAGAGCCTCCAACCAGGGCCCAGACAGGTGGCTCAGGATTGAGCAGCAGCAGGTAGCAGGCTGGGCTAGGACACCAGGCCCATGGAGCCCATGAACAGCAGTGGCAAGGGCCTTCCCTGAGCCTAAGACTCTGGGACCACAGTGCCTGGACCAGGGCACAGCAGATTACACGGGAGTGGCCACATGCACCAGGGACTGCCAAACACACTTTCAAAGGCCCCCTTCTAAGGCCCTCTTCCAAGGTGGTGGCAAATGACACCCACATGCCAAAAGTTTTGCTATGGCAGCATGAACAAACACCACAAGGGCAGGACATCCTAGTTGCTCACCTAGCTGAAAAAGGAGACCCACCTGACGCTTCCCTCAACCTGGAAAGAGAAGGCCACCAGATAGGCTTGGTCCATCAGGAATCGTACCTGACCTATGTGACAACACAAGGAGAACCCCCCACACACACCCCAGCTTAGCATGACGTCAGGGGAATAGATCCAAAGCCCTGGTGACAAATCGTAGCTATTGGAACTGTTCTTTTCCCCACAGGGCCTGAGATTCCCCTCCACACCTAGAGATGCTAGGGCAGCCAGACAGCACCTGCAAGAGGGAACCTGGCACAACCAGAGGCCCGTTCCAGGAAGATGTACATGCACGTACGTGTTACAGTGCATCCTTCCCGTGTTCTCCCCCTGGAGAAGAGTGTCCATGACCTGTAGTCAGGGTCCCCACGTGCTGGGCTCACAGGTTTTGACAATAAGACTCACTGGGGCTGAGATGTGAGGGAGGATGGAGAAGCATGTGGACCTCGGAAAGTTCCCCTGGACAAGGCAAACCTGCCCCTGCATGCGGCGGCACCTGGGGAGAGCGCCTCCTGCGAAGTCCCGGCAGCCCGCTTCCGCGTTCTGGAAATCACGGTGGGCTCTCCCAAAGCTCTGCTTCCCTGCAGAGGCCTGCGCGGGACACACGCCGTCCTGGAGGGGGCCGAGGCGGGCAGAGCGGAGCGCCCAGGGAGGGCTCCCGGAGGAGTCGTTCCGACCAGAAAAGCAGGGCCCAGATGCAGACGCTGACTGAATACTCGCTTATGAACTACTGTTCTAGCTCAATTGGGCCACAGCGTTCCGCTCATCCAATCAGAACGTCTCTTCCTGTACCCCTCATTTGAATACAGCCTTCTATAAATAGGTCTGCCCGCAGCTGTGGTTGCCTTTCTCGCTCTCGCAGCTGCGCCTGCTCAGTTGCTGCGATCCCGAGTGGCGGCTTTGGGCGCCGAGCGGGCGTCGGGCCGCTGCTTACCGGGTGGCAGCCGGAAGGTGTTTCATTCCCCGCCGCATTACGGTGAGCCGCGCTCCTGCACCCCAGCGGCGCGTGGCCGGGGACACGGTGGCTGGCTGGCGCCGCCCCGGAGCCCGATGGGCTCGGAGCAGCGCGCGGTGCCGAGAGAGGCGGGTAAGGACAGGCCCAGCGGGCACACGAGAAGGACCAGGGACCAGGAACCCAGGAGCGGGCGCCTGGGTAGGGACTAGGCGCCAGGTGTGAGGGGCGCCGTGGGTCCACGTGTTCAGGTTGTGCTGCTCTCCCTGCTGGAAGATCAGGCCCCGGCGGTTTGTGTGGCGCCTGAGGCCGCAGCCTACCAGCCAAGCGCAAGGCCGCGGTGGGGAGCCGGGCTGGGAGTGGCACCGCACCCCCTGCCTGGCCCGCAGTTCCTGGCCAACATTGGCCAAAGGGAAAGCATGGGTTTCAGAGAGTGGCTGTGAGTGCGTCACCTGAAGCCTGGCCTCTGCACCCCAGCAGATGGCATGAGGGAGTGACGCACTCTAGCACCACCCCCACCTCCATCCTGTTCTCATGCCCGGTGGAGTTAGGGCCATCTGCCCCCTGGGCTGAGCGCCCAACAAAAGGCGGAGTAAGTAGATGATGTCTGGTGGGGGGGTAGGGTCGCGATCAAGGTCTAGCAGGACGTGGGGGGTCTTATAGGAGGGTGGTGTGGCCGGGGGAGGGGAGGGTGCAGGTCCCATAAGCCAAGCCAGGCCCAGTGCTCCTGGTGTCACCCGCCCAGCACCAGGCGGCAAGGCAGGGAACGGTGGCCTGGCAGGTAGCTGCGAGGAGCCGGTCCCTGCTAGCCTGGGTGAGGGGGCCGCAAGCACCCCCATCCCTGCCCGACAGTCCCGCCTAAGGAGGCAGCAGAGCTGGCTAAGAGAAGGGGATAGGGTCCAGGTGCCCTGAATGTGATTTACAAGAGAATGAGCCAGGGTTTGACCCTCCTCTAGCTGGGGTTTGGGGAGGGGGCGTGGCTGCATGGACCTACAGCGGAGTGGCCTAGAAGGGGCCAAGGGGACTCTGGCGATGTGTCTGCTGCACCCCTGCCCCAAGGGACTCAATGATAATTGGTGGAGAGCAGGGGACCCCAAGAGGTCTTGCCCCAATGAGGGGCTCCTGAGCTTGCTGTGAGGACCACCTGGGGTCCTCCTGGGGCAAATCACAATCCCCAGAGGGAAAGACACTGCCTCTAGCTGAGAAGCAGCAGGCACTTGAACATGGGCCCTTCACAGGGCCACTGCCCACTCACACCCTCGCCTGCGTTGCAGGTGCTCTGTCCTCCAAGGTGAGGAAGAAAGGAGAACTAGGTGGGAAACACAGCAGGCTGGATTTTAGGCATACCAGTTGGCTGCAGGTGGGGTGGGGCCTGCTTCCCACCAAGCCCTGCCCCCAATAGGTAGGTGAGGGATCAAGGCCTGAGGGATGAGCTCCCAGGTGTCACATTGAGGGTTGGCATTGTCTCAGTGTGGAGGAGGAGCTGGGCCATGGAGCTGGATCTGGATGCCTGACTGTGGGCTCTGGGTGGCAGGCTGGGGGTGATGGGAGTACACCCATGCTGCAGATGGACAGACTGAGGCACAGAGCTCTGGGAATTCCAGAAACAGTGAAGAGGCCATGGCTGGCCTGTGAGGGATGTTGTGTTTACTCTGGGTGAGCTGACCATCAAAGGTGTGCATACAATAGAGGCAGGGGGACCTAGGTGGCTGCTGTGGGGCAGATGGGCCAGGTTAAGGGCACAAGTAGGCAAGTGTCTAGCCCCGTAGGAGAGGAGAGTGGCTGTAGGTGGATATGAAGGGGAAGGTGGCAGCGATTCCTGGGGGATGGGCTACGTGTGTGTGAGAGAACAGTCAGTTACAATGCCTGGGGGTTTGGCCTGGGACAGTGGCAGGTGGACTTTGCCCAGCCACGGAGGGGCCAGTTGGGGAGGTAGAACTTTTGATTTTGGAAAATCCCAATTTGAAATGCTGAGAGATTTGCACATGCAGATCAAGGGCATCATGGGGCAGTTATAACTTGGGGACTGATAACGTGTGGGCTGATCCCCGGGCCACCTGGGGTGGAGCAGACAAGCAGGTGTGCAGGAGCCAGCTAGAGAGACAGAACTGGGGAACACCAGGGAGCAAATCCCATCCCAGGGAGAGGAGTGTATGGAGGGAAGAGCAGATTCCAGGAGGGGATGAAAATTTTATGGCTCACCACTCCCCTCAGTACCTTCCCCAATCACACCTTCTGCTGCCCTAATCCTGTGTCCCTGATTGTCCCTGTTCCCCTGGCCATGTCCACTTCCATGCTTGTCCCTCGTGGGCTCAAGCCACGAGAGTTGCCTTTCTAGAGGCACCATCTGGCAGTGGGCAGCTTTGAGTCCTGGTAGTCTCCCAGTCCTGGCAAGTGGCCCCTGCCACAGCCTGCTGGGCTCTCTCCATCACCCCAGGGGCCTCTACCCCCTAGCCCAGGAGGCCTGGAAGTGTAGCTCAAAGCTCTAGGGGGTGCCTCTTTCTCACCCTCTGTCCACACTGCTCCCACCTGTGCCTCAGTGTCCTCCAAGAGATGGGTTTGTACGTGTGGGTGGATGGCAGAAAGATTACCATGGGAAGGAGCTGCTGCCCTACTCTGCCTGGGTCCCTGATGCCTCCCTCCTGGGGGGCTGGCAGCCCAGCCCCCCCAAGAGTCCCAGCAGGAAGGCACACCATGCAGCAGCCCCCAGAATGGAGAAAAAAACACTTTGGCTGTGAATGAGGGGATGGCAGCAGCCCTAGAAACCAGAATAGGGAAGAGATGGGGCCCCCAGGACCCCATCCCCATCAGAGGCCTTGGAGCTGTGCAGAGGGTGACGCAGAATTTTAGATTCTAGTGGGCCAGTGCCACTCAAGCTGGCTCCAAGGATCCTGGCTCTGCAGGTGGCTGGGATTCGCCTCCTGGTAAAGTGCTCCCCAGGCCTGCTGTGGCCCATCCACGCAGCTGGGGTGCCCTTTGGGTCCTGGCCATCCTCCCACACACCTGCCCAGTAGGCCTATCCCAGTGTGCCTCCCTGGGCAGGTGGGGCTCCCCGAGGAAATGCTCTTAGGCCATAAAGACTCCCAGGCCAGGATGAAGCACCCCAGACTTTTTCAGCAGGAGCAGAAAGGGAGGGAGGCAGTCAGGCAGGGAAGGCCAGGGACACACGACACAGCTGCGAGAATGTCCAGGGTGGGGGCGAACGTGGTATTCAGGCTTCTGAGACCCTTGTTCAGCCCAGGCAGGGGTCCTCAAAAGGCCAAGACTCTTCCTACTCAGCAGGAGACACTGAGGCTGGGGGGGGGACAGGACCAGCTTTAGAAGGGGGGTTGGGTCATATGGGCATCTGCTCCTGCCTTGGTTATCATCTTCATATATACTTTGGCCAGCAGAGGCCCCTTACTGGACTCGGCCCCAGCGGATGGACGAGAGGCTGCGGGCTGTGCCGCCACCTACATCATTTGCGTCCACTGCGGGCCGGCCGCCCTGCGCCTCCTGGGGAAGAGCCCCAAGGAGCTGTGTACAGAGCATCATATCTGGCCATCACGGCGGGTCTGGCAGTGGGGCAGGGGCCTTCAGAGGGCGGTGAGAGCGGGGCCTGTCGTCTTCCACCTGCCCTTGCGCCCAAAGCTGAGGAGAGCGTCGAGAGCGTCGAGCGCGCGGACTGCTGCCCGCCGGGCAGGCTGGGGGAGGGCTGTGCGCGGGCAGGCGAGGGGCAGCCCCGGAGCCCGCCGCCCTGCAGCGCGTCCCGCGGCCGGCCCGCCCGTGGGGCCGAGCCCAGCGGAGTGCAGCGGCTGGTGCGGGTGACCCGGCAGCAAGGCGGCCCGCGCTCCTCGGCGGGCTGGGTGCAGCGCAGCGGGTGGCCTTGGGGCTCCACTTCACTGACATCTGGCAGCATCACAGGAGTCTGGAGTAGCCGATGAGAGACAAAATTATGTCACCAGCCACAGACGAAGTCCTCTGTGGTGAGCAGTTCTGAGTAGGAACTTGCTGCTGGCTCGTGCCGCGTGTGCCAGGAGGAAAAGCCCAAAATCAGATGCAGTTCCTCTTAGAGTAACAGTGTATGTATCGACCCCTGAAAGTGGGAATCACGCCTGTGACTATTGACCTCATGGTGCGTTCACAAATGTTTGTTTCTCCTTCTGCAGCTCGTGCTGCCTGCATGCCCGTGCTGAGCAAGAGCCGCGTGCTGAGCTGGTAGCCAGGCTCAGCCATCGGTCAGCCGTGAGGTGACCTTAGATCCACGATAAACTGCGGAACAGAGTCTGTGTGAGTTACACAGTGGATGCTCAATGGGAAAATTAGGATGGGCTATTCTAAAAAATGCAGAGCTATTTGTTTTATATTTATGAGTTTTCTATTAACTTATATTCATTATTAACAGAAAAACACTAAATTATACTTTGTTTTATTCTGTCAGATTTAAACTGATACACTTCATAATGAAAGAATATAAACTAAATGAACATTGAGTTCTATTCAGTTTTTCATTTCTTTTAACAGTCTTTTTTAATCAGTGTGAAAGGCCTACACTCGATTTCTTAAATTTACTCTAAATATTTCTTTCTTTTTGAAATTATTTTCACAATTTCATTTTCAGATTGCTCATTGCTAGTATATAAAAGTACAATTGAATTTTGTATATTGGTTTTGTGACCTTACTGAATTTACTTATTGGTTCTATTTGATTTTAGTGAAATCCTTACAAACTTTTTATATTCAATTTCATGCCATCTCCTCTGAGAGACAATTCTAACCCCTTCTTTTCTAGTATGGAGGCTTTTGTTTAGTTTCTTTATACAGTTTCTCTGGGCGATACCTCTACTATGGCAAGTAGCAAATGTCTATTAAAATGATCACATTTTAAAAACTAACTTTTTTAAAACTATCATTTTAAATAGTGTTTTAATAGTTTGTATTTTAATAGTTTTTAAAAACTATATTTAATAGTTTTTTAAAAACTTATTTTTGGTTTAAAATTAGAGTACATTCTGTACATTTTTGTTGAGAAATATGATTTAAAAATTATTAAAATACGGCTTATAAGATCATTATTTTAGCACCCAATACTGCTATATTAAAAACAAAAACAAGAGTTTACAGAGTTTTGCCCTAAATATATATATATATATATATAAACTCATTAATTCTCTTATCAGAGGCTGCCTTAAGAGAGCTCTCAAAGCTCTAATAGGGATGTTTTCCAAAAAGGCTTCCCAGTTATCTCTCTGTGGAGCCTCCTTGTGTCTTAAAAGGCAAGACAGGGTAAACATGGCCCACGAGATAAAAGCCAAAACCAATAACTACCCTTTGCCCTAAAACACTCCATCATTACAAACAACATGTTTTATAAAAATGGGCTTCCTGTTCTCTCCTGACCATCTGCTTTAAGTCTGCAATAACTAGATCAAAAAATAAAAGGCATTATACCTCTTTGTGGTACCTCTGTTATTTGATAACTACCTTTAAAATTTAAAAGTTAGCCCTTAAAAAACATTATACCTGTTTATTCACCTAAAGAGATTAAAATTTTTAAAAGTCCTTTGAGAGGACTTTTAACCCTAACTCACTACCTGTCTCCCCTAACAACTACATTTCCTAATATACAAATATGTTACCCTGGCAACTAATAATTAATATCTATGATTATAAAAACCTATATAAATCTAACCATAATGCTGGACATTCACAAATATATGTCCAGACTCCTAAATACCCCACTGATTATTCTAATCTTTTTATATAAAACTATAAACTATACCTTAGTCTCTGTGTATTCTTTTATTCTGTTTCCTATCAATTTTCTTATCCTCTGTGGCAACCCCTATCTAAGGGACCTGACTCTGCAGAGAGAGACAAGTGATCTCCTCATGGCCCTGCTACACCCCACACATTCTTTTTGGTTTTATTTTGAATAGTGCTATTTTCTTCTAATTTTCAGGATTTTTGTAGCTAGTGTACAGAAATGCAAATGATATTTGCATCTTCATCTCAGAGTCTGCAGAATTGCTAAACATGTACCAGCTGGAGTGAGTTTTTCGTGAACGCAGGATTTCTTTTACATATGAAATTATGTCTTGGGCATCAAGCAGCAATTTTACTCTTTCATTGGCAATCTGGAGTCCTCTTCTTCATGTTTTCTTCCATGATATTTTTAGCAAAATCCTTCAATACAGTGTTGCTTAGGAGTGCTTAAAATGAATATTTTTGTCTTGTTCCAAATCTTATGGGGAAAACATTCTTTCTTTCAGCCAATATACTGTTTACTGTAGGTTTTCTGTAGATGACCTTTATCAGGTGTGACAGGTCTCTTTAATTCCTAATTTGTTTAGGATTTTAGTCATGAGATAGATTTTCTCAAATGATCTTTTTCAGCGTCAGTGAGATTATCACATCTTGATTTCCCTTTATCTCATTGATATGATATACTAAATTGTTTTCGACAGCTTTGAGGTCTAATTGATATACAAAAGAACTGCCTGATTAATATATTCGTAGGATTGTATGTACACCTGTAATACACCACCAGAATCAAGATGACATATCTATCCATGTTAAATGTACTTACCACAACATACACACACACACACACACACACACACACACACACACACACACACACACGGAAATAAGTAATACTTTGAAAGTATAGGTGTAAATGGATACATTAGTTTTCTAGATATTGACACAAACTACATATTTGTGGCATGATCCCACTATCATCAAGGTATATAATCCTTTTTATATGTTGTTGGATTCAGTTTGCTAGGGTTATGTATGGACTTCATTGTCTATATTCAATATCGTATAAGGTTTTTCGAAGGCGGCGAAAAGAAAAGACAGAAAGAGTGGGGGCCAAACCACGTGGCTTTATTATACACTCGTAGACGAGATTCTGGGGCCCCGAGAAAGGGGGCCCCAGAAGTCACGTTTGAAGGGGCTGAGGCCTTTTATATCCTTTGGGCCTGGCTAGGGACTTTTGGCGGGAAGAGCTGGGGATTTTCTGTTGTGGCCTTGGGTGGTCATTGAGAAGTAGGGGGAGCTGGAGGTATTTGTGGAATCCAGAAGCAAAAATGTTAGTATCTGGGTGTGGTTTCTCTCAGTGGGCCTGGCAGTTTGTCCTTGAGGGGTTTGCTCTCATGAGTGTTTTCTTTTCTTTTTTTTTTTTTTTTGATCTAGGGAAGAGATCACCACCTTATATGTAGTTTTGTATATGCCACCAGCCTTATATGTAGTTTTGTTTTCCTGTTAGGCTTCTGAGAGCTTTTAGTATTATATAATATTAATTCCGTTTTAGTAGATTGAATTGGGAAGTGTTCCTTTCTCCTTTTTGGAGAGCGAGTATAAAGCATTGGTATTAATTCTTCAATATAAATTGGCAGAATGTATCAATGACACTGTTAGAGCGGGAAACCGTAGGACCACAGAACAAAGAGACAGGGTCACTGAGGCTGAAATCATCAAAAGGAGTTTTATTGACTAGCTCGAGCTAGGGTCCAAGTCCCAGAGCACCAATATGGCCGCTCTATTTGGACAAGGAGCCCGCGCTGTGGGATGGAGCCCTTTATACCCTAGGTGCATAACCTGTCCACACGCTTGAACTTTACATTGATTGGTTGGCCCCTTGTGGCCACGCGCTTGACCTTCACATTGATTGGTGGGCCCCTTGTGCCCACACACTTGCCCTTTACATTGATTGGTTGGCCCCTTGTGCCCACGCGCTTGCCCTTTACATTGATTGGTGGGCCCCTTGTGCCCACGCGCTTGCCCTTTACATTGATTGGTGGCCCCTTGTGCCACGCGCTTGCCCTTTACATTGATTTGGCCCCTTGTGCCCACGCGCTTGCCTTTACATTGATTGTGGGCCCTTGTGCCACGCGCTTGCCTTTACATTGATTGGTGGGCCCCTTGTGCCCACGCGCTTGCCCTTTACATTGATTGGTGGGCCCCTTGTGCCCACGCGCTTGCCCTTTACATTGATTGGTTGGCCCCTTGTGCCCACGTGCTTGCCCTTTACATTGATTGGTTGGCCCCTTGTGCCCACGCGCTTGCTCTTTACATTGATTGGTTGGCCCCTTGTGCCCATGCACTTGCCCTTTTGTTTCACCCCCAAATTTACTGCAATCAGCCCGCTCAAACCAACTTCCTAGAAACAAGCAATATACATAAGCTAAAAGAAAGCAGTTAGCCTGAGGCTTCACATCCCCCCTTTCTTTTGGTCCTTATGAGCATTCTTGCTCGTCCTGGGGTCTCTAACCTCTTGCATCTCTACACAATGATATTGCTGCCGCAATACCATTAATTGAACAGTACTTATCCACTCTTTAATGAAAGCTATTAACCTATTTAATACACATGGTCCCAAAGTGAAAATTAGGAGGAGTACAATGAGTGGACCTAATAGTGTGGACAACAAAGTAGTTAACCAAGGGCAGCTCTTAAGCCATGACTCAAACCATCCTTGTTGCCCACGCTCTCGTTTCCGTCATGCAAGTCCCTCCCTGACCTTAGCCATAGACTCTCTACCCCAGTGTGGTCTGCACAGAAGCAGCACTCCTCTCCTAGGGCCGCACACAGCCCCCCCTGCTGAAGGAATACTAAGTCCAACCCCCTCCGGTTCTGCAGCACCACCTCAGACAGTGAAGTTAGGGATTTTTCTAAATGGGAGATGGACTCCTCCATTCTGACTATGTCTTCATCGATTGTGGCCCTTAAGCTATTGAACCCCCGATGCTGCACTGCCAAGGATGAGATGCCTGTCCCTGCTCCTATTGCCCCCAGGCCAAAAAGAGTGGCCAAGGTCATTGTGGTAAAAGGCTCCTTTTTTTTTTTTTTTTAGTTAACCCAGCGCCTTCTGTGCCCTTTGTCCATGCATCATATATTGTATTTTCTTGGTGGTAAATAATCTTAGGGAATACTAGTACCATAATGCAGTATTCCTCTGATTCATTAAAAACAGACAGGCTAAGACATGAAGTCAGACCTGTTTTAGACCAAATCCACCACCCAATTAGCGTCGGAACTATTCATTTTGCTCCTCCAGTCTGGTTTGCAGCCGGGTGGACTTTGGCACAGAACTGCGCATGACCAGAGGGCACCTTTCCTATGCACGTTCCGTTCCCGGAGACTGCCTGAAGTGTTAGCCCCAGGCCTTTATGGTCCCATGTGCAGGACTTGGGGGTCTCTTCTCCTGAACGGTTAAAGGGGGCAGCTACCCCTACTACTTCATATAAAAGGGGTCTAATATCATAGCATAATCAGAAGGCTTC